GCGTTGTGAATAGCTATACTGGCTCTCAACGTCTGTTTAGCACAACTCCATGAGCGACTCTGACTCACGCTGCTACCTGGGGCTTCACGAGGTGTTTGTCGCGCTGGAAACAAAGCGTCTCTGTAAGTTTGTATCCCTGGTGATGGTTTGGCCTGGAGAGCAGTATATAAGTGGTGCTTTTCAGGCACAATCTTCCTCAGCCTACTCAAGCTCAACTGATGAGGGGTGAATTCCCCGAAACACTGTGTATTGAGCAGGGAGTGGTGCTTTCTTTCAGGTTTGCCGAGCGGAAGGTGCGACGTGCTCCTGGTGTGCTCCGGATGGCAGTCGTGAGTCAGTCAAGTGTCAAGTTCGGCAAGAAGCGTGTGCTCCTCGTTGGAGCAACCAACTTCATGACATTACCGCCGAAGTCGCAACTTCTAAGTTCGTATTTACAAGCTACTGTGCTCCAATCCTACCAGCCCACTTCGTCAGCTCTTGCCTCCCTCTCAAGCCCCCCGACCAGCCCATGTTCGACCCACTCGTCTCTCTCTTTCGTCCGTCTCGACATGCATAACTCAGTACCAGCTTGAGACAGGGCTACCTGTCAACAGCCTAGAAAGTTGCCGTAGAGCCTTCCCCGCCTGTGCTGTCCCTGTATGGAATGCCCTACCACCCGCCGTCCTCAACCAACCACCTGACCGGAAACGGCTGCAAAGTTTCAAAAGTGTCTGTCTTCCGGCACCTCCGTGCTCAGCAATGGCACTGGGCCACTGACACTCTGTAATATGTATGCACATCTGCCTACACACTGCTGCATGTTGCCATACGCCCTGTGCCCTGCTTATCCTTTTCTCTGGATCTGAATGTGCACCCCTTACGCATTATATAATTATACTATATTTAGTTCTCTCCCCCTCTCTTGCTCCCCAACCCTCCCCCTCTCTCTCTCTCTCTCTCTCTCTCTCTCTCTCTCTCTTTCTCTCTCTCTCTCTCTCTCTCTCTCTCTCTCTCTCTCTCTCTCTCTCTTTTCTCCCTCTTTTCTCTCTCTCTCTCTCTCTCTTTTCTCCCTCTTCTCTCTCTCTCTCTCTCTCTCTCTCTCTCTCTCTCTCTCTCTCTCTCTCTCTCTCTCTCAGTCTGCTAGTGGCGCGCCTGGAAGCCGAGACCCAAGGTCGGCAGAGCATCCCAGACCACGCCACCACTCCCCTTATTCATGGTTCACACATGACGGGTTTACGTGGCTCTAGTAAAAAAAATAATAATATAAAAAAGGACCGGCGGAAGCGGTTTTTGATTGCTCCGGCCATACCATAGCCGTTCGTACTTAGTTTTTGATATACAGGTGGAATCCTGATAATTCGAATATGGCTTAATTCGAACATACCGCTTAATTAGAAGTTTTTCCAGGACCGATTTCTGTCAATACGATTCCCACATAAACTTTTCTGATAATTCAAACCTCGAACCGGACATGTCCGGTTAATTCGAAGTTCCACGGATTCCACTTACATAGAAAATGTGTGGGATTTGTGCTGATAATTCGAAGTATTAAAGCAAAGTGTAATTCGAAGTTCCCTGTACACTGTACTGGTCAGTTCAGTATCCGTGAAATCTGTATCTAAGGTCCATAGCGCAACTCTGCATGAACATGGGGGCATATACATATTGTGTTGCGGGTTCATGTTTGGATAATTAGAATGTCCGGATAATTAGAAGTTTTTCCTGGCATTTGGAGGTTCAAATTATCAGGATTCCACCTGTAGTGGGCACACATAACTTCCACAGCAGTAACCACACGTTGGTGGCCAAAATGTTGGTCCGGCGCCGGATGACCTGATCAACCGGACCGGTTCCGGCGGGCCTGCTCAGCATGGTCCTCTCACATGCCCTTGTTAGCTCTAGGCCATACTAGGGACACGCTAGGTCCGGCTAAGAGTTCACCAATGCAGAGACTTCTTCCTGTTCATCTCACCATGAAGCTAAGCGGTGATTTTGTGTCTTACCGATGGCCAGTAGCGTTTGTGAGGCGCTTTGCAGCCGTCTGGCATTCGAGAACAACCGAGCATCCACCTTGAGTGAGTAGACGCCAGAGTCTGCCTCCTGTAGACCCTCTATCTTTAGCTTCTCAGAGACTGGATGCATAACAAAAAGAAGAACAATTCCTTGGATCATGTGACCACCCTAGTAAAGTAAAACATTTCAATAGAAAAGGAATGGAAAGGGAGCTGAGATTAGGCATATTCATGCCTCAAGAAAGGAAACTACGGTAGACTAGAACTGCTGCACTTGATCCTCGTTGATTTGGGCCGCTGTCAAAGTGTTAGCAATAGCAACCATCATAACTGAACAAGTGCTCTGGAGACAGCAGCTTTAAAACACAGCCACACTGAGGAGGACTAATTTAGCTGTAAGCATTTCCTATTTGTCGACATGCATTAATGCCACGAAAAATGATGATTAGTCCCCATTCCATCGTTACGTAGACCCACTGATGACCGTAACAAGAAAACAGCACGTTCTGAACAAATCCTTTCGTTCTTTCTCGCGGTGCGCCCTGCAACCATTGTTTCACATTGTAATCATGCTCATGCATGTCGACAAATAGGAAATGCTTACAGCTAAAGTAGTCCTCCTTGTGGCTGTATTATAACCATCATAACAACTAGCAAATGCATGTTAAATGCATAGTACAGGACAGGGCATGTACAGTCCTGCTCAATGAAATCCGATCGAGTAAGTCAAGTATGCGACGACGGGCGCTGTGCAGCCCTAGCTCTGTGCGCACTGCCACTGGTGTAGGGTGCAACGCTGACTCGCCGCTTGCCCAATCGGATTTCATTGAGCAGCATTGTAGCCATGTAGGTACGCTGAATGTCAATTCGACTCGGCCGTGTGATGGTAAGCCGAGAGTAGCCTGCAGTGACCCGGGTGGTCGGACTTTGCACTTTGGGTATCGGTAAACATCCCAGGCCCTGGGTAAATTGCAGCCTTGTTCACTCTCAGTTACCCTCCCTGAACGGGATTGAAGTCGGGCCGAGCAACCAATCTGCACACTGCACTAGTGCACGCTGGTGTGCTTGCAGTGCAGTGTTACAGCTTCACAACACTGACCCCTGAGAGCAAACATATGGGATCGGATTCCATTGATTGCAGCAGTGAGACCCGTAAAGGCCGCGGATTACTCTGATAAGGCTACCACCTGTCACTGAGGACCACTACAGCTAAGACCAAGGGCTGCCGCATTTCCAGTCAAATGACCCTGGATACGACGATCCCTGCTCAGAGGGGCCACATGTGTAAGGTCTCCTGAGTGGTCAGCTTGGACATGTTTCATTGTAGGATTATTTTGTTCAAGGTATCCGACACCTAAGCCATTTAGCAACATTGTTTCTACAAAATCCACATTATCTCCAGACACTGCGGTGAATAATGGAGTGTGGTGGTGCGGCCCATTAAGCTCAGCCGACCAGAGGTCTCGGCTTCATAGCTCCACGGATATGCATGGGAACAAACAGTGCCACGGTTTGAACTGCAGTTGCATTTACTTACGCTTTCCACTGCTAGCACTGTATTTGAGCATAGTCTGTGTCACGGGCACTCCCAGCGCGTACCAACTGATGACTTGGCTGCGGGTCTTCACGTTGAGCAGGGTGATTGTGATCTGTGTACTGGATGACTGCTGCGTTGAGACTTTCTGCACGTCAGTGTTAGGCAGGCTGAGCAGGGAAGTTGCCGATGCTATAGTCAGCAGTAAAGGCATGCAGAGGGCAAGAAAGGGATAGGCCTTGTGCACGCCTTATGCACGTTGTACAGATGCACGAAATCCCGTAGAATCTCGTAGAACCCCATAGACCCGGCTGGGTGTTGAATGGGCAGGACCCTATTGTGTTTACTGCTATTTCCATTAAGAACATGGGCCCTGAAGGCACTTCATACGAAAACTTTTTCCGACAAAGATCTAGCTAGTCATTAGTTCTATCCAAAGTAAAGAAGCCGGAAAAGCGATTGTTTGCCATTAATTATGAGGCTAAATTGGTCAAGCGCGCATGTACAGCACACAATGAACACCCAACCATGTACAGCACACAATGAACACCCAGCCATGTATAGCACACAATGAACACCCAACCATGTACAGCACACAATGAACACCCAACCATGTACAGCACACAATGAACACCCAACCATGTACAGCACACAATGAACAGCACACAATGAACACCCAACCATGTACAGCACACAATGAACACCCAACCATGTACAGCACACAATGAACACCCAACCATGTACAGCACACAATGAACACCCAACCGGGTATGTACACACCTACGTCCCTAGTACAGAACTGTGTACATCTGTACAACGTGCATAAGGACCATTGTGAATACTGGATAGTGGCATGTTGTTCTAGTAGGACACACCAGAAAAACTGGTATATTTTTTACCTGAAGCTAGCCGTAGTCATACGCTGTACATAATTAGTACACTTCAACGTGACCTACTGCTCAAACAGCTTCAAGAATATTTCGACCGTGCATCCCCTAAACTGACGTGGACCGGTTACGCCACTGTTTGTGTGCTAGGAATGCATGAGATGTGTACTATTCATATATGGCATGTTGGAGTTTTTTTCTTTTTTTTCTACAAAATCCACATTATCTCCAGACACTGGGGTGAATAATGGAGTGTGGTGGTGGGGCCCATTAAGCTCAGTCGACCAGAGGTCTCGGCTCCATAGCTCCATGGACGCACCAAAGTCATTAGAGATTGGAAAGAATTTCCAATTTTGCAGCACAATGTAGGCAGGAAAGGAAATTAACTCACACATCCCTCCTTGTAAGGTCAAGTAGGCCGTCGAAGATGTAACTCTTCCCACTTTGTTGGTGGCAACACATTCGTATGCACCCGCATCTGAAGCTGACAAGTTGCGCACAGTCAAGTAGTGGTGGTTGGCATACGTGTCAATCTTAAACCGCTGCTCTATGGTATCCAGTTCTTTTCCGTCCTGAGAGAGAAAGCAATCATGCATCACAGCATGTATCAAGTTACCATCGCCACGAGCAGTCACTGTTAGAAGAGTTTGCTTACAAGGACAGGTGGACATACAGGCAGACAGACAGACAGACAGACAGACAGACAAACAGACAGACAGACAGACAGACATACAGACAGACAGACAGACAGACAGACAGACAGACAGACAGACAGACAGACAGACAGACAGACAGACAGACAGACAGACAGACAGACAGACAGACAGACAGACAGACAGACAGACATACAGACAGACACACAGACACACACACGCACACACACAGGCGGGAATCTACTGTGCCCATGGTGAGACTATTATGACATTTCAGGTAGCGGCGAAATAGCCAGTTTTCTAACGTATGAACCACTGTAATATGGTATATGGGGTTAGGATTATCTTCGATCCCTAGCACAATTTACCATAGCAATTATTATCAAAACATGCAGAGTAGCTTATAGTTTGTCTTGCCTGTTCGAGACCTACTATACCCCACAAGGCCGTCACAGCTGGGGCGGCTGGGGTGGCTGAAACCGCCTCACTTTTTCGGCCGTTTTTTTTAGCACGCTGCAACAAAGCGCAATGATCACAGCTCAACGCAAACGTGGCAAATAATGAAGAATCCTTGTCCCCGATCGTGGTTTGTTGCAGAATAAAAAAAGTCTTTCATTGCAGTTACAACTGAAATGGCACCAAATGCCCGGAAATGCTTGCAAATGGCTTCAATTTTTGAATTTTTTCCCGGAGGAGGGTAATGAAGTCTTCTTGGTTTGTTGCAGAATAAAAAAGTCTTTCATTGTAGTTACACTGAAAGTTGTATTTCTCGCCGGCCGAGCGCAGCGAGATAGGCGAGAAATGATTTCTCGCGAAATATTTTCAGTTGCAAATATGGCATCTGGTGTGTTCTTTGTTGTCGCTTCTTTTCCTGACTTCTTCAGTCAGTTTTGAGTCTCACCAGTGTCCCTGCCCTCCCACCCTTTATTTCTGTGCATATTATCAATGCTTTTATCACTGTTTGCCGTGATGTGCTTGCCATGCCTACATGATGCCTAATCGCCATTGGGGATATACACCCGGGTTTTTCCCTAACAAATGCGTCCGTCGGCGCGAGGGTTTTTTCCCGGCTGGCTCGGTCCAGGAAAATTAATCTGACGGTCCCAAGTGGTTCTGCATCATGGCCTATTTCTGCTATCCACTGGCACGACTATTCTATCTGAGACACTCTGTTCTCAGTCCTTGCTTGCTTCCATACCTCACTCGTTATCCGGTTCACATCTGGCTGCGGCCAACTACCCTTCACTTTGTGTGTTGTCGCTATTGCTGTCTATGTCTCTGTGTATGCCAGTATATGTGGAGCGAGAATGGCACCAGATGCCCGGAAATGCTTGCAATTGGCTTCAATTTTGAATTTTTTCCGGGGGAGGGCCCCGACCCCCCTTGCATGGCCACCCCACCTCCAAAGACCGTTTAAGTCGGTGCGACGGGCCTGCCCCAAACAGCATGGTATTGAATACAACAGTATTGATGCAATTGTTGCGGGGGGGGGGGGGGTATTTCCGGACGATAGGCTCTTCCGATTACTCTCACATAATCTCGCGTACACCACACTCAGAGGACTGATTTCGTCTTTACTCCAAGGAGAGTCAAAGGAAAGGCAAGGAATCGAAACAACAAGAATGTGTACAAATGCGTGCATGCGTGCTGGGTCGCAATCTGCGCAGTCCGCACGCAGTCCGCACACCGCCCGCGTGGACCCAGCACCAAAAAGGGCATATACGTTCTAAAAGGGGCAGGGACAACATTAATTTTGTTTCCATTGCCTACCTTGTGCCAAGTAACTGTGGGAGTCGAGATGCCATTGACCGCACAGTGCCATGCAGCAAAGTTACTAGCCAGGTGGTAGTACACTGTCAGATTGGTGGGGCCATTCACTATGACCGGCGTTGCTGGAATGCACAAATACACATGCCCATGTATGGATGTGTACATGTTTGCATGCATGTACACACACACACACACACACACACACACACACACACACACACACACACACACACACACACACACATACACACACACATACACACACACAACACACACACACACATACACACACACACACACCATGTGGCCCAACAGAGCTTTTAAAATTCATTGACCCCAACATACGCGAGATAGCCCTATCAGATACATGTACATAACTGCCGAGTGAGACAGACTTATCAAACACAGACTTATCAAACACAGACTTATCAAACACAGACTTATCAAACACAGACTTATCAAACACAGACTTATCAAACACAGACTTATCAAACACAGACTTACAAACACAGACTTATCAAACACAGACTTATCAAACACAGACTTATCAAACACAGACTTATCAAACACAGACTTATCAAACACAGACCTGTCAAACACAGACTTATCAAACACAGACTTATCAAACACAGACTTATCAAACACAGACTTATCAAACACAGACTTATCAAACACAGACTTATCAAACACTCCAAAAGCGCAATGCACAATATTACTTCTGCAATGTGATAGGTGACAAATTACACACACGTAACAAGCGATCCAATCCACAGTTTTTCTTCAAACGTTTGCATTGCTGGTGGCCACAGCTCCATCGTAGGCTACACTGCGGGAAGGGAAGTTGGAGCAGAGTTCAACTTCTGCGACGAGCAACGCCCATGGCTCACTTTCTACATGGCAGGTGCATGTGACTCGAGTGCTATGGTGTGCGTGCAATATTGGACTGTGTGTGCCATGCAGGATTTCGCAGCGATGTGCGGTGCATTGTGCATTGCAGACTCTTAGCGCGATGAGGTAAAGAGTTTAGGTCGATACTCCATTGCATCGTGGAAGTGGTATTGTGCATACATTGTACTTCAGCTTGTACTTTGAAGTCGACTCAAGGAACCTGGGTAAATTCTAGCATGATGTTCCTGCTCCTCCATACACACTCACACCTTGCAGTGGCTGATCATTCACACACAAAAACTAGCTTGAGCACTAGACAACACTGACCATGGTGCTAACCATTTGGTTAAGAGAGAGAGAGAGAGAGAGAGAGAGAGAGAGAGAGAGAGAGAGAGAGAGAGAGAGAGAGAGAGAGAGAGAGAGAGAGAGAGAGAGAGAGAGAGAGAGAGAGAGAGAGACCGGCAGATAGGCACTGCGCAGCCAAGAAGACTAGAGGCAAAGCCGGTAGAGGCAAGTGGTGGCAAACTTCCAGTTATGGTCCCCTCTCCTATCCTACTTGCACGTATACCGACACATGAACGCACAAGAAGAACAGAGAATTAACGCATGCCCACCCATCCACATAGATATGACCTGGAACTTACTGAGTGCTGCAATGGTGAAATCAAAGTAGGCCAGTCCTGCTTCGTTAGCCGCAAGGCATGTATACCATCCAGAGGCAGCAGACGCCACCGCATCAGCAGACACTCCCGATACCGATGACAGAAGAATAGTTGCTTTGGAAGACATAACCCGGTAGTTGACACCGTTGTCTATAAGTCCACTCGAGGTCAGCAATGCATTGTTGCGATAGAATGTTATTGTTGGTTGGGGACTGCCGGATGCAGCACATGTGATGCTGTATCCATTCAGTGCTGATGACGCAGTCTGAACTACGAGGTCTAAGATCTCGACATAACTGCCAGGATGAGTTGTGATATTGGGTGCAACACTTGCCGCTGCAGCGTATATCAAGGGGAGCAGCAGAAACAACACAATTTACACGAATCCGCTTTAATATACATGACTGTACAGTATACAATCAACATCCCGGCAACGTGCAGAGCGATCTAAGGCCATACAACATCCAACGTGCAGAGCGATCTAAGGCCATACAACATCCAACGTGCAGAGCGATCTAAGGCCATACCACATCCAACGTGCAGAGCGATCTAAGGCCATACCCATACTGTCGGACTAGCAAAGGATGTGTCTGAATCTATGCATACGGTGAATCCTTGCAGAATCTACTGAATCTACTTGCAAGTATGCATACGGTGAATCCAAGGCTTGCAGGATCTACAGATTGGGTGCCTGCTAAAAGTACCGGCACGCCGGAGAGACGTACATTGTGGCTATTGGGCGATGGGAATTGAATCCACATGTAGATGTAATTTCAATATACGTTCTTCTACCATCAGTGTTGCCTGACCAGGGAAATCTAACCACTCGCGCAGGAGCCGTGCCTGCGAATCACAATGTGCAGTACTCATACAGTTGTGTGAACTGAGCATCCCGGGGTCGTGGAGCCGCAGGGCCAAAAAGCGACTGTTTGACTTGACTTGGGCTGCGGAAAGTGTCCCCCTGGCCTGGATTTCGCAAGTGAGCACTCTCTGACGCTGTACCTGGTGTTTGTGACCATCATCATGAACCACATTGCATCCAGTCATTAATACAGCCCTCTCTTGAATAGTGCCCCCCCCCCCCCGGCTTGTTGAACCAAGCGCATGTGCAAGTTTGGTGTTCTTTTGCAAATATATCGTGACCATGTCACTGCACTGGTGGCTTCAGTTCAGGATCAAAATCGCAGTTCTTGTCGCCGTTTCTGTTGGGTCGTGATAGTTTACAGTAAACTTTGGGCTCTGTTTTTTTTCTCTGCCTTCTTTGCTATTATCATCGGCTGGATGATGCAAATGTACATGTACCAGCATTGAAAAAATAGTGCCCTCTCTTGAATAGTGCCCTCTCTTGAATAGTGCCCTCTCTTGAATAGTGCCCTCTCTTGAATAGTGCCCACTCTTGAATAGTGCCCTCTCTTGAATAGTGCCCTCTCTTGAATAGTGCCCTCTCTTGAATAGTGCCCTCTCTTGAATAGTGCCCTCTCTTGAATAGTGCCCTCTCTTGAATAGTGCCCTCTCTTGAATAGTGCCCTCTCTTGAATAGTGCCCTCTCTTGAATAGTGCCCTCTCTTGAATAGTGCCCTCTCTTGAATCATCAGTGCCCTCTCTTGAATAGTGCCCTCTCTTGAATAGTGCCCTCTCTTGAATAGTGCCCTCTCTTGAATAGTGCCCTCTCTTGAATAGTGCCCTCTCTTGTATAGTGCCCTCTCTTGAATAGTGCCCTCTCTTGAATAGTGCCCTCGCTTGAATAGTGCCCTCTCTTGAATAGTGCCCTCGCTTGAATAGTGCCCTCGCTTGAATAGTGCCCTCTCTTGAATAGTGCCCTCTCTTGAATAGTGCCCTCTCTTGAATAGTGCGCTCTCTTGTATAGTGCCCTCTCTTGAATAGTGCCCTCTCTTGAATAGTGCCCTCGCTTGAATAGTGCCCTCTCTTGAATAGTGCCCTCTCTTGAATAGTGCCCTCTCTTGAATAGTGCCCTCGCTTGAATAGTGCCCCATCTGTGATGGACATTGAAAAAAATAGCGCCCCAGGGACACTAATCACGCAAGTACGGTATGCCTCATAGAAGTAACTTAGTTCTATGAACTTCTATCACAGAACAGACTACAGTCCATCCAGAAAAGGTTGATATCCTAGCTTTTCGGCCATAAACGGGTCAAATTTTGAGTTTTCGTCTCCTTTTTTTGACAATCCCCCATGGAATGCTCTTCCAATTGTGTTTTTGAAGTCTATTTCTCCAAAAAGCAAGCCATAACAAGAATAGGATTTCGGCCAGGTTTTGCCCCCAAAGCACTGAATCGGGTAAAAACCATGAAAATCCAGGCCGTTCACTCCACTTGCATAACAGTCCATTTGCAGTTCGAACCCCAGTTGAGGTGCCTTTTTGGACCCTTTTTCAAGTTTCGAATCGCGCGGCACTGCACAGTGTACCACAAAATCGCCAAACACGGGAGCTCTCCAGAGCCAGCGCTCAACCTTTTCTGAATGGACTGTAGCGAATCACGTTGATTTTTGACTGTGGAATGTGGGCGTTGGGTAGGTACTGCATCTCCCTCAGTTATTCTTATTGTACACAGTCATTGTAAGAGTATCTGATAGGTAAATTATTATATCTAGTAGCAAGAGTACATAAGGTTTATGTACTCTTGCTGGTAGCGGTAGTAGTAGCGACATAGGTATCGCAGTATTTATCAGTATCAAAAGAGACACACCCTATAATATAGGCCTACCTGCATCTCCCGCACAAGTCCGCACCAGCACCGCTACCAGGCCTACTATGATGCAGGCCAATGATGTTTGTCGTTCCGCTCGATTAGCGCACATTCTTCTCCGCCAAGACATGAGCAGTTTGAACTTTGAACCAGCGGAATGAAGTACTTGTAGAACGCACCCAGTAACAACTACATGTAACAGTTACTACCTGAACTACAGCTGTTGTGTGTTGTGGAAAGTAATTAGTTTGGACTGGTTGCATACGGCGAAGCTGGGATTCAGAATTGGCCTCGAGGCCAGCGTTGATGGATCGTTTGTTCTGCATCTGCGAGCAGAATTCTTTGGGCTTACAACCAACCGCAACGATCGCCTCAAGCTGAGAGGATGCGTCGTTTCGGAGCTCTTTGCACCGCTGCTGAAGGCTGAGTACAATAATCCAGCGAAGCATGGGCACCAACGGTTGCCTCTTCTGTCCAAAGTTAATATTTACTCTTGCTGATAACCCAGATTTTGTGCTTTGATGTACGATTTTTCTTTCGAATGTACACCATGCACGAGCTATTGACAATAGTCAATAGGCTATGTAGTATGTGCAGTGCTATACACCTCTGATGATCCTTTTTTATTATTTTGCAACTTTTTATTTCTTTCCACCTCTCGCATATGATTCTGGAAGTTGAACTGACGCGGAACGTAGATCAAAATGATGGCCTAATAAATACACATGTATGGTGTGGTGGTAAAGACACACCTGGCAATATGGCAGTAAATACACGCCTGCCCACACACGCTCTTTAGGCTGCAAAGTTCTGGCACAGAGCTCTCCTTCTCATCACCACCACCACCACCACCACCACCACCAGTTGGCGCCTAGTCGATGCATGGTTAGGCATGGGCGGGTAATGCTAGTTATTCACTGCGATAAATTATCATAATGCTTAAGGCAATGCTCATAATATGAGGATATAATGCCACTTATAATGCTCACACTACTCCATAATGCCAGTTTGAAAGTTGGAAAAGTTGATTTAAGAACGCCGTCTTGGATCAAGGCCAAGGCGTAGAAGAAAAAAACTTAAACAGCAGTGAGCATGTTGTCTGAAACAATCCACTGAGAAGGTTGATTTGCAACGTCAAGTCTCCAGACGAAGCCGGACGGGTTCAGATGTACGATTTTCGGAACTGGACCTAGCCAGCTTCATGCATGACACCGTTGTCGACCGGCAATTATGCTTGTAATGCCAGCATTATGCCTCGAAGAGAATTGGTGAGCACACATGCTCATTCCCTGGGCACTGCAAATTCACAACTCATTTCATTTCACAGAATCATTTTCAACGTTTCGGCAAATTGCCATCATCAGGATACAATATGCATTATTTTTTTTTTTTTTTTTTTTTTTTTTTTTTTTTTTTTTTACTATGTTCACACTCCCAGCTCGAAAATAATAAAGAAAGACAATGATACTGAGACTAGGACGAACGTGACAACTATTGAGCAGGGGCTGCACCGAGACGCAGCAGTGATGGTGGGGCATTGATGGCTCTGCCGACCTGAGGTCTCGGCATCACGGCCAAAAACACGCACCAAAAACAAAAGATAGAGCTGTACGAGTCAGCAAAATGAAAAGAAAGGAAGGGTTAACATCAGCGAGTGTGCGGGAGAAACTGTGAGACTATTAACAAATACAAGGGCTGTTACTGAGAGGAGCATCATCATGGCTGATCATGGCGAGTCGGTTGTCTGAGCCAGTTGTGGTGCATAGATAGGGATAGAGGAGAACGACGAGAGCATCATCATAGCGAGTCGACTGCCCAGAGCCAGTTTGTGCTTCGCAGATGGCGATAAACATTAGTTTTGAATGCTTGCATTCCCTTGCTGTGGGGAGGCTGGGACAGAAGAGCGGCGGGGAGGGAGTTCCAGTCACTAATACTGCAGTGCGGGAACGAGCGCTTTAATGCCAGCGGGACAGATGCAAGCAGCTGGTGTTGGAGCTGGTGGTCATGGCCAATGACGCTACCATGCTCGCTGCGAGTTCTGGGGCTGGATGAGGGGAAATGGCGCGGTGGCAAAACAGAGAGCAGCTGCGGAGGGCCAGGCAGGTAATGCAGCTTGTATAGGCAGGCAATCGAGGCAACAGTACGACGGATGGCCAGGCTAGGTAATAGTGCACCTGGACCGATGATTCGCAGAGCACAGCGTTGGATATGATCCAGGCGTTGCAGGTAGCTGGGCGGAGCACCTATCCAGATGAGGGGGGCATACTCCATAACTGGTCGAACAAATGCCTTGTATACTGTGGTGCGGCCGGCTGGAGAGAGAATGTGCGCTGCACGGCGCAGGAAGCCCAGGCGTTGTTTGGCTCGAGTGGCAACCTTCCGGAGATGAGTGCTGAATGACAGCTTCGAGTCAAAGGTCACTCCAAGTAAAGAGAGCGCCTTCTCCTCAAGGACAGGAGTGCCGCCGAAGACAATACGAGGCAAATTGATGGGGGTTCTGCGGAGAGTGGCGGTCATGGCTTGGGACTTCGACGGTTCGAAGGAGATGCGCCATCTGCGGCCCCACTGATGCAAGCGATCAACAGAAGTCTGGAGGCTCAATGCTGCGTCGGCTGGGGATGTGTCGAGGGATATCAGGCTGTACAAGGTAGTATCGTCGGCGTACGCCTCCAGGTGGGCTCCGGGTGACAGGGTCTCTGAGGCGTCGTTCACGTAAATCAGGAAGAGTGTAGGGCCGAGTATGCTCCCTTGGGGAACTCCTGCTGATATGGTATACAGCGATGAGGTTTGGCCGCCCACCAAGCATTGAATGGACCGTCCACCTAGGTAGGAAGAGAGCCAGGTATGCAGGGGACCGCCAATGCCAAGATGGCGGACTTTGTGGAGGAGGCCAGCATGGGACACACGGTCGAATGCTCCGGCAATATCCACGGCTAGAATACGTGCTGCACCGCCTCGGCCGACGGCTGTGATCCAGGCGTGGTGTAGAGCCTGTAGCGCATCTGAGGTCCCGAGGCGGCGACGAAACCCGAACTGGTGGGGTGTCAGGAGTTTGTAACGCTCAAGGTGATTCATGAGCTGACGATTGATAACGCTCTCCATGATCTTAGAGATTATGCTCAGCAGTGAAACTGGACGATAATTCCTTAGGGCGGATCGTGAAGATCGCTTGTGGATTGGAACCACGCTGGCAGTCTTCCACATTTGTGGCTGGACTCCGTGCTGGAAGCAAAGAGCAAAGAGCTGACACAGTGGCTTGGCAAGTTCTCTGGCGCATTCCTTCAAGACACGAGCGGAAATACCGTCGGGTCCAGTCGCCTTTGAGGCATCCAGGCGAGCTAAAAGCCGGTGGACTGCATCCGGGCGAAAGTGGACTGTCGTTAGTGCAGGTGCGTCAGCGAATGCCGTGTCCGGTAAGTCCATCGTGGTAAGGTCGCGGCCTTGCACACTGCACTTGTGGGAAAAGAAACGTGCGAAAGCCTCCGCTTTCTCATAGCTTGTGGCCCTCTCGCAACCTTCACTATCAACGAGCAGGGGAATGTCAGTGTTCCGACCCTCGCCACAAGCACACTTTAGCTTTGTCCACCATTCCTTCTCCTTCAGGGACCCATTCGACAAGCTATGTCTGAGGCTGTTCTCTTTGGAAACTCTAGATCTAGCGAGGACTGCGATAGCATTGTTTACAGAACGGGTAAACTCATGTTTCAGTGCAAAATCGTGAGGGTGCTTATTTATTATGCCACTTGGAAAAAAGGGACTATAATGCCAGCCATAATGCTAGCATTACCCGCCCATGCCTATGCATGGTTGGCGGTATCCGACATAGCAGGCTGGTACATCAAGTCGCGCATGGCACAGCAACGACATAGCTCGATTGCGACGTACGTTTCAACTTTTGACAAAAGTTACATTTTTGTGACAAATTCTTATTGCAACATGCTTGCATAAACTGAGCCATAACAGTGGTTCGCATGTCACTCATGGCAGGATTCATGGGCTTAACGCATCCCTCAATGAAATCCAGGTAGAAGAGCCAACAAAAGGCATCTCAACATTGATAGAACATATCGCAGTAACAACAACAGTTACTACAAGTACGCAAGCGCAGCACATTTTTCCACAAGCATCAGCCATTTTTCCACAAGCATCAGCCATTTTTCCACAAGCATCAGCCATTTTTCCACAAGCATCAGCCATTTTTCCACAAGCATCAGCCATTTTTCCACAAGCATCAGCCATTTTTCCACAAGCATCAGCCATTTTTCCACAAGCATCAGCCATTTTTCTACAAGCATCAGCCATTTTTCCACAAGCATCAGCCATTTTTCCACAAGCATCAGCCATTTTTCCACAAGCATCAGCCATTTTTCCACAAGCATCAGCCATTTTTCCACAAGCATCAGCCATTTTCCACAAGCATCAGCCATTTTTCCACAAGCATCAGCCATTTTTCTTGTCTGGTGCACTGACTGTTTTGAACTAGTGCCAGATCAAAACAGTCAGAAATATCAATATTGGCGTGCTTTATAATGGGGTCGGCCACGTGGGCGCTTAATTGCCATCTCCAGTGCTTGGTAAAAGACGCTGAGTTAGGTCCTGCACGGACGACATGGCCCAGCCAGAGCAGTCGACGCCTGCGACAGATAGTGCTGACTGGGTCGTATCATAGTGAAATATACATTGATTGGTCTAATATTTCGTTTTCCAAGAGTCCATTATGATACCCATATCAAAGAGGTTCTGGAAAAAAACTGGTTTTCACCAAATGTCCCCAAAGGCCGATTTTCCCAGGCAACTACTTGAACTAGCCTAGGCCTTGACGGATTATGCTAGCATAATTTTTCGCATAATTCCTACCAAAATCGAATAATCGCATAATTCGAGGCAAATTGCATACGAATCGCATAAAATTGTAATAATCCGCCTGTTCGCATCATATTCCATACAGTTGTACATGTTCTGCAAGTACAAGTACAAGTAGATGCACTAGGAAGTTGTAGGTTTACGACTCCCTTGATAACATGTCAAGTCCACTACAATCAGTGATGGTCGTAGCTAGGTCGGACGGTGCGTTGACCCCGTTGAACTTTTGCTACTACAGTACAACGCCCTCTACAAAAAAATTCCCCTGTTATTTTGCACAGAACCATTATGCATTAGCAGCATATGGGAGCATAATACGGGATAATATGATAACTTTTAGCATAAAAAT